TGTGTGTGTGGCCAGCTCAGCCCACCAGGGGGCGGGGCTGGCCGGCATGTGGTGCTGGGGGATTGAACCGCGGTCCCTGATGCTTTGCTAAGCTTGTTCTAAGTAGGTGCTTTAGACCACTGAGCCATCTCTCCAGCCCCACAAAAATTCTAAGTGTAGCTATACTTTATAAGCAGAAAAATATTGTCTTTTTTGTAATTATTTTTTAGTTTCGAGGTTTTTTTTGTTGTTTGTTTTGGTGATGAGGACTGAACCCACGACTTCCAGCTTGCTAGGCAAACATTCTACCACTGAGCTAAATCCCCAGCCCCAAGCCGTGGGATGTAGGACCAATCAGACCAGTCAGAAATATCACACACCCCAAGCTCCCCCTAAATCTGATGTGCCAGAAGAGCTCAGCTGCGGCTTCCCTCAGGACCTGCACATGAGGGGCTCTGTCAGCGAGCAGAACTGCAGTACGTGTGCACCTGTGCAAATACATGGTGCATGTGTGCACAGAAATTCCTCCACCTCGTGGCCATCTATCGCATCCCAATGGTAGAATCTTCCAGAAATAGTCATCATTCCCAATGTCTTTCTCTCTGCAGAGGGATCTGTTAACAATAGCCCAATGCTATGCCCAAGGATGGAAATGTCCTTATGCCCCAAGGCCAGCCTTGTGCCTGATGGTAAGTGCTGGATTTGCTGTGTGTCTGTGGGGTGGTGGGGGTGACTCTATACAGAATTAGTAGGTGGGCACACAACCATCCTCCAATTGGTGATCAGAACCCAGTTGAGATCTTTTTTTCTTCTTTTTTTTCTTTTGGCGGAACTGGGGATTGAACTTAGGCCCTTGTGCTTGCCAGGGAAGCACTTATTCTACTGAGCCATCTTCCCGGTCCCCCTAGTTGAGATCTTTCAAAACAGCCTAGAGGTAAGCCAGGAGCTGCCATGGCATACACCTGTCATCTCAGCTAGCTGGAAGGCTGAGGCAGGAGGATCCCCAGTTAGAGGCCACTGTGGGTAACTTAGTAAAAAACTACCTCAAAATGAAAAAATAAAAAGTGCTGGGGATGTACCTCTGTGGTAGAGCACTTGCATAGCACACACGAAGGCCTGGTTTTGCTCCTTGAAACTGTGAACAAATAACTCAGAGGTGAGCTTCCAGGCCCCATAGTGCAAAAGGAGCACAGGTAGCTAAAAGAAAGGAGAGAAACCCTTTAAAAGCTGTCATCCTTGGGGGCCCACCCCTTAGCTCAGTTCATTTCGGTAAGTGGCTGCTTCAACAAAGCAGTCAGGTTCAGGTTGCTGTGGTTCGATCTCCACAACTCAAGCCAGCCAAACCTGCCCTGAAGGCATTCGGAGCCAAAAAAAAGCTGTCATCCTGGATGCAGAGCCACATTTAACAATAAATTCTTAAGCTGCTTCTACGGCTAAGTTCTTGCATTTTTAAAATTAATTAATTAATTAATTGACAAGGTCTCACTATGCAGTTCAGGCTAGCCTTGTGCTCACTTTTGCAGCCCTCAGGCTGATCTCAAACATGCAGCGATCTTCCTGTCTCAACCTCCCAAGTGCTGGGATTACAGGCCTGTGCCACATCTGGCTGCTACATTATTTATTTATTTATTTATTTATTCATTTATTTATTTTTAAGTTCTACATTTTAAAAACAGTGGTGCATTCTGTGACTTTTTGCACTCTTTCCAAAATCTGAATGCTTCCTCTTATACCAGCTTCAACATAAGAGGAGCAATGCCACCGGAGCACAGGGAACCCTCAAGACTGTAACCCTTAGGCTGAAAAAGGAAACAGGAACTTTGTGCCCCCAAATATTGCATGACCCCCATACAGAACATGAGCAACTGCCTTAGTGCCATGTCCACAGCCTGTTGCACCTCTTCTGCTTCCAGACCTAGAGGGTGATGGGGCAGGTGACAAAGCCTCTCCCTCAGTCTGCTGGAGCTCAGTTGACCCATTTTTCATCCTTCCCAGCATGAGTGTAGCTTTACTCAATTTTCAGAGGGGAAGGGGTTTCCAAGGCAGATGACAACCGGGGTGGAGTGGCTACTAGGTAGAGAAATATGGCAGATAGAGGTAGGTATCAGTGCAAACCCACCAAAGCACACACTACTCAGGCAAAAGGGCTGACCAGGATTTGACAAGGGTAATGCAAGTCCAACAGCAGGAAAACTCATGGAAGGCAGACTTCACCTCATCTATGGCCTGCCAACCTAGCACAGTGCATGGGAACCCAGCTTGATGCATCCCCTGGTAAGTGCCAGAGGGAATGGATGGACACCTCCTAATGGAGCCTCAGGATGCTTCAGAAGGCCGCACGCCTCTTTAAAATTAGTTGGTTCAGAAAAGAGAGAGGCCAGCAGGGAATAGGAGGGACTCGAGGTGACAAAGAGGACATAAGCCTGTTGCCTGCCTGGGACATGCAGGAGACTTCAGCAAAGGCTGTCATAAGAGATGCAGCTCAATAGGAGCCTCCCGCCACAGCCCCCCAAAACCTCCGGGGCCTCCAGACCCTGGTTGAGCACAGTTCTGGCCCAGCTATACTCTCCCCACTTGCACCTTGACCTGTCCTGTCCACCTGTGCTCACCTTGGGGGTAGTGAGGTGGGGGTGGTGAGGCGAAGTCCAGCTTGTCCTTCAGGTCCGCCTCGTTCTCCTCTTGCCACTGCAGCCCCACCTTCTCCCAGAGGCTGGCAGCCAACTGCCTGTGTACAGCAAGCAGAGTGCAAGTTAGGCTGAGCTGAGATGAGGCCCAGAGTCCTGGCATGTGCTGGAGGCCTTCGGGGTTGGACGGCTAGCTGAGGAAGTGGGGCCCAGTCAGCAGGAATCAGAGTGAGACCAGCATGCACTCCCAGCTCCAATATTCTGAGGGCCTTTCGATCTCGCTGACAGTACTAACAAGTGAGTGATTTCTATCCATGGGCCCAATCAAAATAGTAAAAAGATGTAATAGGCCAAATGTGGTAGTGCACATCTGTAGTCCCAGCACTCTGAGAGGCTGAGGAAGGAGGTCTGCAGGTTCAGTCCCAGCCTAGGAAACAGCCACTTAGTGTGATCTTGCCTTAAAATAAAAAAAGTGGTTGGGGATACACTCAATACTAAGGCCCTGGGTTCAACCTCCAGCAATGCCAAAAACAAACTTCAGTAACTTAAAAATCACAGAAACTATCTGTATGCCACAGGATCTCAGACACAGAATCTGTAGACAACATTCTGAAGCAAGGAGAATGGACTGTTGTTATACACGACAACCTGAAAAGCAAGTCCCAACGAACCAGAAAGCAGAGGAGTCCTCTACTACCACAGACAGCACTTCAAGCACCCAAAGACAAGATCCTCTCACTGCAGAGCTACTCACCTGATTTCAGGCATCTCGTCGTTGAAGCTGCTCAGCAACAAAGGGATAAGCTTGTGAAAGAACGAATAGCGGTCCCGCAGATCCAGTAGCCAGCCCCCCACCACGGAGGTCACTGCCTGTCGTACCTGCATGCAAGAGAAAATCAGGTTCACAATGGGCAAAGATACCCTGAGGACAGATCAGACATAGCAGCTCTGAGGCCCACCATGCAGACTCCATCCCAGAAATTCATGCAAGCTCTGGGTCTGGGGCCCTGAATCCGGGTTTCTGGCCACACCTTGAACACTGGAGAAGTGCTTCAGTATCCATGCTTAGGTAGGTTTCCCGGACTGTGGCCTGGTGCTCGCAACAAGGCCAGGGTTCCCCATGGGAAAATATAATTATTTTTATAAATGACAGAAGGTGAGTCTCAAAGGCTACTGAAGAATGAAGAGGTCTCAGAGCTCAGCAGAGCTACAAGACATGAAGTGATGGTCATACTACAACAAAAACACTTGAGATAAGGGGCAAACTTGAAGCTGTGCCAATGCCATGTGCTGACAATGGGCCCAATCAAAATAGTAAAAAGATGTAATAGGCCAAAGATGTAGAAGGCCCATGGGACTGCAGCCCTGCTCAGTCACACGCATTGTGAGCAGGCAGAGATTCCTCATGCCTGGGCTGAGCTGCAGCAAGCCCCTCAGTAGGGCTGGTTGGAATCCTGTCTTGTTTGGCCTCCACAGATGAGGCCTCTTGTAGAAGGGAGTCTTCAGAATCCTCTTCATGAATGAAGACAGCAGGAAAGGAGGGTTTGGGGCACCTTTTTCCTTCAGCCTCCTGTCCTCAGCTCACAGGACAGCAGTGACCCTGAATATCCAGCTAACACTTAACAGTCTCAGTGCAAATATTACTCCAGGTTCTTAAAAAGCAAAATGAAAGCACAAGGTCCCAAGTTCCATCACTAGTGCCAAACACACACAGACACACAAAAGAAAAAAAAAGCAGAGTGTGCTTACTGAGCGTTATTTACTCACAAGTCAGGTCTGTGGGCCATGAGACTGCTAGCCTGGAGAATGCTGCACTGAGCATAATCTATTAAGTCAGACAGGTATATCCCAGCAAAGGGAAAGATGTCTGCTTTACTATTTATTTACTTGCCTTTCAGTAGAAATGAAGTGGTAGGCAGGGCAGGCATATGGCTGTGTCTTTCTGGCCACATTCCCTGCAGCAGTGAGGGTAAATCTCTAGCACACATGCCATAGCCAACTGCTCGCAATCCCTGAAAACCCTAAAAGGTTCACCCTCACTGACATAAGAGCTTTCACAAGCTGCAAAGCAGAATACAATGAGTCTCAGCCATGGCCCACACAAGGCAATTTGACATTTTTCTTCGTATCTGAAGAGACATCCATGCTGCCCAAGCCTTAGTAGCTCCATCAAGGTCATCTTGCCAGCTCGCAAGCATGAGGGCAGGTCAAGGACAAAGTAGAAGTGGCTACTTGA